ATCCTTCAGATGATGTCACCGAAGAACGATGGGCTCAAATCTGACTTTGGAATGGGCTTTCTTGTATCGGGCCTTTTTTGATACCAAATCCACAAGGTACATATTCCTTTCTTCATTCTTATTTTTGTTTTTGTTTCCTTTTATTTTTCTTTAAGATTAGTTTAAATATTACATTAGTGTAGAAATATTAAGTGTTAGTCAAACTAAATCATTTAAAAATACTAATTATTTTCACTTAAACTATATAAATTTCACTAAAATTTTTAAAAAATTTAACACTTAAACTTTTAACTAAAACCATGTTAGATTCACTATTATTTTTTTAAAATTAGTTTAAGTGTTAAATTTTAAAAACGTCGAAAACTAACCGCGCCTAGGCATCCCGTCCTTAATTGGTCCGTAAGTTTTGGTGCTCGAAGTTCGGCAATGTTTTCACGTAATATAGATTTAATACTTAAACTCATTTTCAAAAAAATAATAGTGATTTTGGCTAAAATTTAAAACAAATTTAACATTTAAACTTTAAGAAAATAATGTTTTTAAAACTAAAACCATGTCAATTTCACTAAAACTTTTTAAAAATTAGTTTAAGTGTTAAATTTTAAACACGTCGAAAACTAACCGCGCCTAGGCATCCCGTCCTCAATTGGTCCGTAAGCTTTGGTGTTCGAAGTTCGGCAATGTTTTCACGTAATATAGATTTAACACTTAAACTCATTTTTTAAAAATAATAGTGTTTTTAACTAAAATTTAAAACAAATTTAACATTTAAACTTTAAGAAAATAATTTTTTAAAACTAGAGAAATTGTTAAAAATGCCCCTTTTTCAATACCCCTTTTCAAAAATGCCCCCTTTGAGAGTCCATTTTTAAGTTTGCCCTCTTTTAATTTTTAATGACCATTTTACCCTTATTTGAAACAAAATTAGGTCCACAAAATACAAAATATTTTTTGGCGGGAAAAGTGATCCCGCAATTTTTCCGCGAAAACACTTGTAAAAAACCTTTAAAATACCTTGTAAAATTTTCCCGTAAAAAGTTTTCCGCCAAAAAAAAATTTTTGCGGGAAAAGTGATTCAGCAATTTTTTTGGCGAAATTTTTTGGCGGGAAAAATTTACAAGGTATTTTAAAGGTTTTACGAAGTATTTACAAGTGTTTTGTAAGGTTTTACAATGTATTTTAAAAGGTTTTACAAGGTACTTATAAAGTTTTATAAGGAATTTATAACTTGTAAAAAATTTGTAAAACCTTATAAAAAACTTGTAAAATCTTATAACTTGTAAAACCTTATAAAAAAGCTTGTAAAATCTTATAATATCTTATAAATAACTTATAAATACGTTGTAAAACCTTTTAAAATACATTGTAAAACCTTATAAATATCCTGTAAAAAACCTTTAAAATACCTTATAAATTTTTCCCGCCAAAAATTTAACGCCAAAAAAATTACGGAATCACTTTTCCCGCAAAAAAAAATTTTGGCGGGAAAAAATTTTACGGGAAAATTTTACAAGGTATTTTAAAGGTTTTACAAGTTTTTACAAGTGTTTTGGCGGGAAAAATTGAGGGATCACTTTTCCCGCCAAAAAATATTTTGTATTTTGTGGATCTAATTTTGTTATATTTCCTTATATATTTGTGATATCTTTTATTAAAATAAGGGTAATTTAGTCATTTTGTACATAAAAAGGGGTATTTTTAAAAATGGACAGCTAAAAGGGGCATTTTTGAAAAGGGGTATTGAAAAAAGGACATTTTTGTGAGTTTCCCTTAAAACTAAAACCCTATCAATTTCACTAAAATTTTTAAAAAATTAGTTTAAGTGTTAAATTTTAAACACGACGGAAACTAACCGCGCCTAGGCATCCCGTCCATAATTGGTCTGTAAGCTTTGGTGTTCGAAGTTCGGCATATTTTTACGTGATATATATTTAACACTTAAACTCATTTTTAAAAAAATTTAAAACAAATTTAACACTCAAACTTTTAGAAAATAACGTTTTTAAACCTAAAACCAAGTTCATTTTACTAAAAAAATTTAAAATTAGTTTTAAGTGTTAAATTTTAAACACGTCGAAAACTAACTGCGCATAGGCATCATGTCCTTAGTTGGTCCGTAAGCATTGGTGTTCGAAGTTCGGCAATGTTTCCACGTAATATAGATTTAACACTTAAACTCATTTAAAAAAAATAATAGTGATTTTGGCTAAAGTTTAAAATAAATTTAACACTTAAACTTTAAGAAAATATTTTTTTTAAAACTAAAACCATGTCAATTTCAATAAAACTTTTTAAAAATTAGTTTAAGTGTTAAATTTTATTCACGTCGAAAACTAACCGCGCCTAGGCATCTCGTCCTTAATTGGTCTGTAAACTTTGGTGTTCGAAGTTCGGCAATGTTTTCACGTAATATAGATTTAACACTTAAACTCATTTTTGAAAAATATATAATAGTATTTTTGACTCAAATTTAAAGCAAATTTAACACTTAAACTTTAAGAAAATAATGTTTTTAAAACTAAAACCATGTCAATTGCAGTAAAACTTTTTAAAAATTAGTTTAGGTGTTAAATTTTAAACACATCAAAAACTAACCGCGCCTAGACATCATGTCCTTGGTTGGTCCATAAGTTTTGGTGTTCGAAGTTCGACAATGTTCTCACGTAATATAGATTTAACACTTAAACTCATTTTTAAAAAATAATAGTGTTTTTGACTAAAATTTAAAACAAATTTAACAAAATAATGTTTTTAAAACTGAAATCATATCAATTTCATTGGTAGTTGGCCAAAAATGAAAATGTGCACATCCATAAAGCATTGGAGGCCAAACTTATTGATCCGAGCTTGTTCCATCACGTTCCTCCTCCAAACCCTAATCCTAATTTCTTCTTTACAATCCCTGTTGTCGAAATTTTCTTCGCTCAATTAACACTTTTCTCTTCTCCAGAAGGACGAAAATGGCGGTTTTGATTAAAATCACTTAATGCAACCTGAAGCTCTCTTTCTCCATTAGCTTCGTTGTCCAAATCCTCTTGACCTCACTCATCTTCTTGGTTCCTTTAGTAGTTACCAGAGCACGCTCGAGTTACTACCAACTAGAGTTGAATAATAACGGCGATGGTGTCTCCTTAGAAGACTTGGCCGATTTTGGGAGAAATTTGAGGAGCTGTTAACTTGTCTGAGCTCGATGGTAAAAAGCCAACTTTAACACTTGCGGTGGAATGTAGCGATTTGGTAGGTTCTGTTGAGAAGGTGAAAAAGAGTGTGTTGGATAAATGGTTACCATCTGATCTCTGTGGAATAGAGAGTGAGATTGATCAATGGAGGGATAAGCGAGTTAAGGAAATGGATTCTGGTTAAGAGGATTTGAAATCGATACTTGAATGGCTTGTGGATTTATGATGGAGTCTGATGCTAATGGCGTTGGTGATTATGAGCTGCAAAACTACAACATTTTGAGGGTACAGTCTTGATTCAAGTCTTGTCTTGTATGGAGAAGCAAATGGCGAGTACTTTGCTTTAAGCAGTGCATTTCAAGCTTGAGTAATAAGGATGTGAAGATGGAGAAGCCCTTTGCGAATACTTCAGCTGGCAAAATCTTTCCCTTCTTCGAGGTACGCTTGATTTTGAAACTACAATTGATTTCGGTTCGGTTTACATGGTTTTGAAATTAGAATTAATTTCGGCTCGGTTTGCATTGAAAAGTCACGCACGCGAGGCTTTTTAAAAAAGGAGCGAGTGTGTTTCAAAACAGGCCATTTGGTCTATGAAGATGATTAGTGGGTTCCCCAAAGAATCAGACTTTGTCTCACTCTCGCAGAAGAAAGATAATCCATCCGATTCGCCGAGAAGCAAGAAACTTGCAATGGCAGCAAACAAGAAGAAGAACAGTAAGGGTGGGCTTTCTATGTTCTTGAATCTTGACTGGTGCTCTTGATGATATTCCTAAACCCGTTGTTGCTCCTCTACCAAAGCCTAAGGTTGAAGGTCCTGTGTGGGGTGGAGCTAAGATTTCTAAAGGATTATCTTCCCTCCAGGATATTCAAGATGAACAAAGCAAGACCTGGCCTCATGAACCTGTTAGGACTACTAAAAATCAGTCAGGCGATGATTCTTCTGGTAAAACTGAAGTAAAGATTGCAGCTGTCTGATGTGGGAAAACGAACTCCTCCTTGGGCTTCCTCTGAAACTCCTCGTAACCTGTCTCGACCTTCTCTTAGAGATATCCAGATGCAGGAGGTACGCTGTCCTCTGTTGGAAGAATACTTGTACCGTTTCTAAAGAAACAGACTAGATTGTCTTTTGTTGCATCACCGTTTATGTTTTAGAGCTCATCTTTCTCTCGGTGTCTGTGTCTTGTATAATGCAGGTGAAGATGCAACAGTCTTTGTCCCACAGTCCAAAAACAAAAACACCAGGCTTCACTGTCGCAACCGAGCAAGGATCTCCATCAGATTTCGCTTGGAACTAATCGTTGGCTCAGATAGATGCTCCATCAGCAATACGATCAATCCAGATAGAAGAAAAAGCCATGAAGGATCTGGGCCGCTTCTACAGCAGCGTGAAGGTAGTCAGAAACCAGCCTTGATGATGTGAGTGAATGAGACATTACTTTTCAAGAGCTCCAATTCTCAAAAGTCAAAACTCAAAAAGTGTTGTAGTTGTTGTAATTGTACAGGGAACTGTTAGAACCAAGAACCTCACGGTGAAAATGAAGTTGTTTGATGCTCCTTGTCACCTCCAAGACAAGAGGGTCTTCGACGAAGCCTCTCAGCTCATATCTGCTCTGTTTAGCTGTCGGTGTTACCAACTTCGCAGTCAATGGAACCTCCGAGGTATTTTCCTGATCGTTTAATCACTATTATCTACTATACTCATGTAGACATATTTTAAACGGGTTTTGTTAATGGAGACAGAAAGATTGGGACTTGGTGAAAGAGATGGGAGAGACGTATCCTTCTGTTGTTCCTTGCTTTGGACTACATCCTTGGTATGGATTTTTTATGCACAGTATTTCCAATTGATGCAAAAAGTTTCAGATCAAAACCCGTTTAAATTTGAGATTTCTCAAACTTTGAGTGATACCGATGAAAGTGGAGCTGAAACTGAAAATTTTCTTGTGGATGCTATAGAATCTTCTGATTCCCCTCTACTTGGCAATGAAACTGCACGAGGTACTAAAATCATAAAATATGCTCAATCATGTAGTTACCATTTGGATATGTTGTAAAGATACATCCAACAATTCAATCTATACTGCTTTTTATCTGCATTTTAGAAATATAACTTTTTTGCTTCTTTTTAATTGAACAGATGAAAAGTATTTTGGAAAGAGAAGAAAAATTGCGTCATGGAGTATAGCTCTTGTGTGCATAGGTGTGCTAGGTCTTGCTTCAGCAGCTTCGGCTGAGCGTCTTCCAAGGTTGTTTCATCATCTGATATCTTATGTCTGTATAACCTGTTCTGCCCACATGTAATTACGTCTACTAAACAAATCTTTTAGTTTGGTTGATTAGCTTTGAACGACATCAGTACTACTTGCATGTCAAAGCGATAAGTATGCTCAATTAGAAAATGCATGCCTGTTTCAGAATTTTGTGAAGCACTTTTCAACTGCTGTGTGGAAAGATTTGCATGTTTTTATCTTTGTAATATGATTATAAACTCTAATGGGTTATTTCTTGTTTGTGGCAGTTTTCCTCGGTTCACTATATGTGGTGTCAGTGCCGTCATCTTGCTTGGCAGTTTGATTACTCTTGGCTACATCGACGAGGATGAAGAAAGGCACAACTTTGGACACAAAGGAGGTAAGGCCTGGAGCTTATTTAAGCCTTTTTTTTCTTATTCATACAGAACAAAAATTGGTTGGTCTCACTTTTTTAAAAAACTGCTGCTTGCTTAAGAGTTTCTATTCATTTGCTGAGTTGGTTATCACCTGGTTAGGACGGAGATTTTGAGGTTTTGGCAAAAACCATAAACTTGGATTTATACTTGAGCAGCGTTTTCTTACTGGCATTCTGTATATGATTCTATTTCAGGGTTTCTCTGCCCATTCGTCCCATACCTTCCAGTTCTTTGCATATTGATCAACACCTACTTGATCATCAACATTGGGTGAGTTAGTCTGATGGACCCATGTATGATACCAGTATATTGGGATGTTTCTTAACCCTTGCTGGTAATTTGTAATCGCAGAGCTGGGACATGGATCAGGGTCTTGGTATGGCTACTTATTGGAAGCATGATCTATCTCTTCTATGGCCGATCTCACAGCTTACTGAACAATGCGGTTTGCGTTCCAAGGACGACTTGTACCAGAAAAACAACAGATCATCTTGCTTAAGATTGGTGGTTCAATGCAGCAGCTGAAGGGAGTCGAGCTCAAGCTTTGTTGTTGCTGAAGTAGCATCGAAAGAGAATTAAACAGTTTGGCACAAGATTAAAATACATACAAGAACATTTCATGTACATTGTTTAGTCATTCAAAACGTATAATGTCATTTTTGTCCCAACGTACATTGGACTTTGAAGTAGTCCATTTAAAAACTCTCATGAATCATCATGGAACTAACATGAAAGAAGACAGTGTTGTGGTTAGTATACTATTGAGGATCGGATCATCAGCCTTATCGACTTAGGCAATGAGTTGAGACTTCCTTCACCTTAATTAAACTCAGCAGATTCTCTCAAAAAAAAAAAAAAAAAAAAAAAAAAGAAACAAAGGCAAAGAAAGAAAAAGGAAATAACAGAAAAAAGGAAATCTTTTATGTGACCGTTAATTAATTGTGATTAGCAATTTCTTTTGAACCTCTTTGCTTATAAATAGATGAGACATC